ATAATAGCCTTTCCTTTTGTAATAATTTCCAAAATCATACGACAACTCATCGATTTGTGTCACTTGTGTTAACACCGATCGCTTTCTATCATCAAAATATAATAGACACCTACACAGCATAAATGAATAAGAACATGTTATTTAGATAAAATTTAAATATATTAATATTTATAATTTTATATATTTACCAAAATGTCTGATTGATTAATAAATTGAAATGATCGGTAACACCAATAATGCGGACTTTATTATCCGCTTCTCTATTATCGTAATAAGCATTATATAAATAAAAAGTCAAATTCTCGCTGTTTATAATTGATTGCCAATAAATGTTATTGAATGAGATATTTTCAATAAATGGTGGTGGTCTCTGGCAAGTCTTAACTTTAGATTGTTTCCACTCTTGCTTGGTGATAAATTTGTATTTTGAAAACCACGTCCTCCAGTAGTTTAACGCTATGTTTGTGTGCTTTTCATTTGCATCAAAGAATCTTGTGTAGAAATCTTTGACAGTAATATTTGGCAAAAACTTTTGTAATTCATTTGTAATTTTAATCACTTGTGTGTCAATGGTGTTTATATTGAGAATTGGTTTTAATGGTTTTAATAGTAATTCACTTTTGTTTAAATTATAATTGAATATCAAACACACAATTAACATGAATACAATTAAGTATAAAATTAATTTTAAACCAAATCTATTTGAAGCAACAAGTACATCAATTTTCACTTTTCTTTTTAATCTCTTTCTAAACATTATTATTATTTGAAATTCTTTCCAGGACTATAAATGCACATCAAGTATAAAATTAATTTTAAACCAAATCTATTTGAAGCAACAAGTACATCAATTTTCACTTTTCTTTTTAATCTCTTTCTAAACATTATTATTATTTGAAATTCTTTCCAGGACTATAAATGCACATCATATGGCATACTATATGCTATTTACTAAAATACATTAAATTTTTACTCAACACAACTGGATGCAAGCCACAAATGAGTTTGTTAAATATTAATTATGGCTTATGTCAATGGAAATGTTTTCCATTAATAGCAAATATGATTAAACTATCATATTTCAAAATCAAGACTATTTTCAGCAAAATATTAGCCATAAGAAATATCAATGTGTTTTGTTTTTGTAATCTATGTCATTTCCTTCATTACTGGCAAAGTTTTTCATTTGTTTTTATACTGTATTGAAATTAACGAAAATTTTATCATTTCAATAAAACATTATAAATAATTTTATTCAGCGACAGAATTTCAAATTTATATCAATTAGGTTTCATCAATTTAAATCTTTTTCATTCTTGCTTGGTGATAAACTTGTACAGTGCTTAAAATACCATGTTCCATAGTAGTTTAATGCTATGTGTGCATTTCGTTTAAATCACAAAATATTGTGTAGAAATGTTTGATAATAATATTTTGTAATTTTGTAATTTAGTAAATAAATAATACAATTATGTATAAATTAAATTAAAATCTCTTTTAAACAACAAATACATCAATTTTCACTTTAATTATTAATTTAATTGTAAGCATTTTAAAAATATTATTATAAATTACTAATTACTGTAAAATAATTTTTACTAGGAGTGTAAATGCACTTCGTATGGCATACAGCATGGTTTAGTAGTCATTTTAACATTAAAGTTTTAATCAACTCAACTGGATGTAAACCTCGAGTAAGTTTGAAGTTAAATGATAATTAAGCTTTATATTAATGAAACATTATTTTGTTTACTAGGAAATATGATTAAACTAATCCGTAATATTTTTAGTAAGAAATTATCCATTAGAAATATCAAAAACATTGTACTCATTATTTGTGTAATCTGTGTGATTTATTTCATTACACGCAACGTAAAGTAAGTTTTAAATTAAATTAAATTTTGTAAATTATCTACTAATTTTCAATTACTATTTGACACCAGAATTTCATGTGAACCACACATTAATATCGTTTTCTTAAAGACTCATAAGACTGGTAGTACTTCGGTCCAGAATATATTGTTTAGATACGGCGATACACACGGCTTAACAATAGCCGTTCCCCCGACAGAAGGGTATTTAGGACATCCAGAATTTAAAAGATCACTTCTACCCAAACTTATTAATCCAGAGACTGGACAACAAATATCATATAATATTATTACAAATCACATGAGATTTAATTATGAAGAAGTTAAGGCTCTAATGCCATTCAACACGAAATATATAACACTATTGCGAAACCCAAACCAATTGTTTGAATCATTGTTTCATTATTATAATCTAGCAAAACATTTAAACTACACTTCTTATGACAATTTTGTCACTCATTTAGAAACAAATTCAACGATTGGAAAGTCATTTAAACTGAATCTAAGATATAATCGTCGACTCGGAAGGAATCAAATGAGCTTTGATTTGGGACTAAATATAACTCAATTTGACGACATGTCTGCCATTTATAGATTCATAATTTATGAATATTCCTATAAAAACAATCGTTGAGTTCAAGTGTTTCCTGCGGGAAGAGTCTCTCAGCCATTCGCGTCACATATATCTCATTCAAATGAGGATTATTTAACTGTTTGCCCGCATGTGTCGAATACCTCCAGTCAACCAAACCCTACAATATATATATTTAATTCATATATTTATATAGGAAATATTATTATTTTGATTTAACCGGATTAATTACCAATTTTTGATAATAGTTCATAACTTTCTCCATATTTGGATGAGTGGAAAATGAGTACAAAAATACTTGATTAACGCCTAATATTCGCATCAATTCAAGCCATTCAATGAGTCTAATACTGAAGTCTATGTTATAGTAATAGAGAGCGCGAACACAAACGGCAAACAATTTCTTTCCTCCCGATTCTTGCTTCTCGTATATGACTCGCAAAAAGTTGTCTAAATCTACATTACATTTATCATTGGTTTTTATGGCCACGGCTTTTGGTATGAAATTCGCGATTTTATTTGGGATATCGCAGCTCATCATTACTGATGTATAATAGCCTTTCCTTTTGTAATAATTTCCAAAATCATACGACAACTCATCGATTTGTGTCACTTGTGTTAACACCGATCGCTTTCTATCATCAAAATATAATAGACACCTACACAGCATAAATGAACAAGAACATGTTATTTAGATAAAATTTAAATATATTGATATTTATAATTTTATATATTTACCAAAATGTTTGATTGATTAATAAATTGAAATGATCGGTAACACCAATAATGCGGACTTTATTATCCGCTTCCCTATTATCGTAATAAGCATTATACAAATAAAAAGTCAAATTCTCGCTGTTTATAATTGATTGCCAATAAATGTTATTGAATGAGATATTTTCAATAAATGGTGGTGGTCTCTGACAAGTCTTAACTTTAGATTGTTTCCACTCTTGCTTGGTGATAAATTTGTATTTTGAAAACCACGTCCTCCAGTAGTTTAACGCTATGTTTGTGTGCTTTTCATTTGCATCAAAAAATCTTGTGTAGAAATCTTTGACAGTAATATTTGGCAAAAACTTTTGTAATTCATTTGTAATTTTAATGACTTGTGTGTCAATGGTGTTTATATTAAGGATTGGTTTTAGTGGTTTTAATAGTAATTCACTGTTGTTTAAATTATAATTGAATATCAAACACACAATTAACATGAATACAATTAGGTATAAAATTAATTTTAAACCAAATCTATTTGAAGCAACAAGTACATCAATTTTCACTTTTCTTTTTAATCTCTTTCTAAACATTATTATTATTTGAAATTCTTTCCAGGACTATAAATGCACATCATATGGCATACTATATGCTATTTACTAAAATACATTAAATTTTTACTCAACACAACTGGATGCAAGCCACAAGTGAGTTTGTTAAATATTAATTATGGCTTATGTCAATGGAAATGTTTTCCATTAATAGCAAATATGATTAAACTATCATATTTAAAAATCAAGACTATTTTCAGCAAAATATTAGCCATAAGAAATATCAATGTGTTTGTTTTTGTAATCTATGTCATTTCCTTCATTACTGACAAAGTTTTTAATTTGTTTCTATATTGAAATTAACGAAAATATTATCATTTCAATAAAACATTATAAATAATTTTATTCGGCGACAGAATTTCAAATTTATATGAATTAAGTTTCGTGCCCATCATCAATTTAAATCTTTTCCATTCTTGCTTGGTGATAAACTTGTACAGTACTTAAAATACCATGTTCCATAGTAGCTTAATTCTATATGTGCATTTCGTTTAAATCATAAAATATTGTGTAGAAATGTTTGATAATAATATTTTGTAATTTTATAATTTAGTAAATAAATAATACAATTATGTACAAATTAAATTAAAATCTCTTTTAAACAACAAATACATCAATTTTTACTTTAATTATTAATTTAATTGTAAGCATTTTAAAATATTATTATAAATTACTAATTACTGTACAATAAATTTTACTAGAAGTGTAAATGCACTTAGTATGGAATACAGCATGGTTTAGTAGCAATTTTAACATTAAAGTTTTAATCAACTCAACTGGATGTAAACCTCGAGTAAGTTTGAAGTTAAATGATAATTAAGCTTTATATTAATGAAACATTATTTTGTTTACTAGGAAATATGATTAAACTAATCCGTAATATTTTAAGTAAGAAATTATCCATTAGAAATATTAAAAACATTGTACTCATTATTTGTGTAATCTGTGTGATTTATTTCATTACACGCAACGTAAAGTAAGTTTTAAATTAAATTAAATTTTGTAAATTATCTACTAATTTTCAAATATTATTTGACACCAGAATTTCAAATATAATTTCATGTGAACCACACATTAATATCGTTTTCTTAAAGACTCATAAGACTGGTAGTACTTCGGTCCAGAATATATTGTTTAGATACGGCGATACACATGGCTTAACAATAGCCGTTCCCCCGACAGAAGGGTATTTAGGACATCCAGAATTTAAAAGATCACTTCTACCCAAACTTATTAATCCAGAGACTGGACAACAAATATCATACAATATTATTACAAATCACATGAGATTTAATTATGAAGAAGTTAAGGCTCTAATGCCATTCAACACTAAATATATAACACTATTGCGAAACCCAAACCAATTGTTTGAATCATTGTTTCATTATTATAATCTAGCAAAACATTTAAACTACACTTCTTATGACAATTTTGTGACTCATTTAGAAACTAATACAACGATTGGAAAGTCATTTAAACTGAATCTAAGATATAATCGTCGACTCGGAAGGAATCAAATGAGCTTTGATTTGGGACTAAATATAACTCAATTTGACGACATGTCTGCCATTTATAGATTCATTAAGAAATTGGATGACATTTTTGATTTGGTTTTGATTACTGAACGAATGGATGAGAGTTTGGTTTTATTGAGACACGAGTTGTGTTGGACTATAAGAGATGTGATTTCATTCAAACTGAACGCTAGGAAACAACAAAAATCAATTGAAAGCATAAATAAAAATATTCATAAAATATTGAGACTCAATAGAGCCGATCATATGCTTTACAATCACTTTTATAAAGTATTTGAGAAAAAAGTTCAAGATTTTGGTTTTGAACGAATGAAAAGTGAACTCAAATTACTTAAAGAAGAGACTAATTATTTATACGATGAATGTGTTGATCAAAATACCTTGTTATCCGATATACTGCCAAAACATTTATATTATTCGCCGGATATAAGTCGACTAAAACCCAAAGCAAATTCCGATGACATTTGTGAACAGTTGACAGCAATTGAAGGCTTTTATATCGATGTCATCCGACAGAAACAGAATTATTTGTATGAAAAGAGTTTGAGAAAAGACAAAGTAATTGAAAATGAAAAGAAACGGATTCAACAATTGAGAACATTTCTAAGATCTTAAATTTTTAAATAGCCAAAATTTTTATATCACTAATAAATTTAGTATATCATACTTTAACTTATTTGAAAATTAATAAAGATTTGAATTGATAATATTTTTAAATCAATGAATTAATATATTTAATAAAATAATTTTTGTTACATTTAGGGTTTTACTGTCTCAGTAATTGTTACTCATCCTAGGTGGTCCGATATATTTTTATTAATTCTAATCATAATTTATAACATTTTTAATTTGACGTTAAATTGTAGAAATGACATCATTTTTCCCTAAGTTTTCTGCCTCTTCTAAAGTATCGGGAATTTCCTTATCTTTAGTTTCAGGCAAATAGAGGCCGAGTATAGCGCCAACAGCTGTTACGATGCCATAGAATATCATCACAAATGTGAGACTTGTATGTATTGTCTGTAAGAAATATCTATGAAATATTTATAAAATAAATATGTAAAACTATCCAGTACCAAATTTCCCATGAAAGGTGCGCTCACAGAGCCAATCCTTCCGACTACAGACGCCGTTCCCATTCCTATATTTCTAATAACTGTGGGGTATATCTCGGCCGCATATATGACGAGTATATTCCAAGAGCTAGAGATACCATATTTGCTAATCAATGCAAATAATACTCGGAGCCACGGTTTTTGGGAAGGGATGACTGCCACACTGGACAGGGCTACTATTGCCATGAATATGGCGTACAGTTTACGTCGACCAATAAATTTGAGAAACAATGGAGTGAACAGTTGAGAGGGCAGTTCCATGAGTCCGGCCAACACGAAGGTTATGTAGAAATTGCCGCCAAAGTCAGACATATTAAAACTGATTCCGTAGTAAACCAATGCGTTTATAATCCATGAATACCACAGAATTAGTGAATATTTTCGTAAATTTGGTGTTTTTAACAAATCAAACATATTATATGTTTTTCCACTTTTGATTATACCCTAAATTAATATATAAATCTAATATTAAAATTATTAATTACAAAAATAATAATTTACAGGGGCTCCTTGAATATTTTTTGCCAATTGTGCTATTTTTTCAGTTAAGTTGTCCGTTGATTTTCCATTCATTTGTAAGGCTTTTCTAATAGTAATCTCTGCCTCATCTACCCGTCCATTAGCCAACTGCCATCGCGGGGATTCGTATAAATAGTAAAACCAAATTAACATTATAATCATGGGAATAGCTGACATAAACTGCATATATCGAAAGTCTTGCAACCAATAGGCAAACCCTGGCAATAGGACATAACCCAACACCCATCCCACTCCCGTCAATATCACTATATCTGCCCGATGTTTAGGACCACAACACTCAAGCACTGAATATAAATTTATAAAATATGATTTTTAAAAATAACTTCATATGATTGGCTTACAAATGGTATAGACAGCCCAACCGCCTCCCGAGTGACCAAAACCAACCAAAAAGCGAGAGATTATATACTGATAAATATTGTAAGAAAAGGCACACGAAATGATTGCCAACACTTCTATACTATAGGACAGGTATATCATCGGTCTTCTGCCATATTTGTCTGAATAATAGGATATTACGAAACCCGACGCCACATAACCCAACATAAAGAAGGATTGGGTCAGAGATGCATAGTTTGTCCGCTCGCACACCAAATCAAACTACAGTAGTCATTGATCTTGGTTATATATCTTATAAGATCGCATATTTATACCTCGGTTATAATTGATTTCTTAAACTGTGTACTATTGTACTCCCATTGAGTGCAACTTTCATTAGGGTTACTATATTTATGACATTTCATTTCATCTCGCACAATTATCTATTGGTTAATAAAAAACAAGCTTATAACTTATTATAGTATTTGATGGTACAGATAATACATACAGATTGATTATGAGGAACATCAGAGCACCAGTAGTCGACACCTTTTGCGTGAAAACTATAGCCCATATTGATGAAGGCGGCGGCCGCTGACATTAGAAACACATAAGCGCTTAAGAGGAACTGCCATTTACCCCATTCCCCTATTAGGTCGGTGATGTGTTTCACCTGCAACTTCTTGTTGGCCTCCATTTCTCACTTTCTCTCAAATCATCTATTATTAAACTAATGGATAATTTTTTTTATAATTCTATTTTTAATACTTATTTTGCAAAACATTTTAAATTTATTGATTATTTTCTTTTTAATTAAATAGATTCTATTTGTTTATATAAAAATATCTCTTTAATCATACTCTTATCAAATAAACCACATGCACTTTCAATATTTGCAAAATATTTGTAAAAATATAAATATGATATATTTTTGACAATCATTTCATGCATTACCAGAAATTACATAATAAAATGTTTAACATCACATTTTAAGTTATTAAATAAATGTATAAATTAAAATTAAATTAAAAATCATCATTAAACTTTTATAGTGTCATAAACATTTTATAAAAAGATATTTATTTAATAAAAATGAACTTATGTACCATGTTTAAAATATGGTTTAGTGTGTCAATGAATAGCTAGTGTCTGACAAATATCACTGATTATAATGAAATTTTTGACAGCTCAATAATTTACTAATTGATTCCTAACATTTGTGTAAATATTTTTAAAAAGATAATTATTATACTAATAAATGTAATTTATACTGTATCTACATTGAAAAAAGTAGTAATTTATGCTAAATAACTTTAAAGATATTTTGATTAAAATCTCTTTGTTAATTGTTATACAGTATAACAAATTATTAGTTAAGATTTTCCATTATTTTCATGTTGTTTATCCTTAATGTTATTCAATTCAATTGAGTCAACATTTTCTGCCTCTTCTATAGTATCAGGAATTTCTCGTCCCTTTGTTTCGGGAAGAAATAGTCCCAAAACGGCGCCGACACATGTCAGGGTACCATACAGTGTCATAACCAGTGTTAATCCAGAAGTGGCCGTCTTTATATATAAAACAAATCATTCTTTAAATAATAGGATATTAATAGTTTGTATAATTATTACCAAATTTTTCATAAAGGGTGCGCTAATGGATCCAATCCTTCCGATGACCGACGCGACACCCATTCCCCTCTGCCTCAAGACTGTGGGGTAGAGCTCGGGGCCGTGTATTGCCATCACATTCCAGGCACTATTCACTCCAAATTTGCCTAATAATGCAAACATCACTTTAAGCCATTCACTGGTGGACGGGACAAAACAAGAGACACCAGTCATGACCATAAATATTGCAAATAATATTCTGCGACCAATAAAGCGAAGGAATAGCGCCGACAATATCTGTGAGGGTAACTCTACCAGTCCTGACAATAGGAAGGTTATATAAAAATTACCCCCAAAGTCAGACATATTAAAACTGAGTCCATAGTAAAGTAGTGCGTTTGTAACCCAGCAATACCATGTTATAAATGATATTTTTCTAAGTTTAGGTGTTTTTACCAGGTCACCAACGTGGAGACTCATACAGAAAATAAAACCAAAATAACATTACAGTCAATGGTATTAATGACGCAAATTGCATATATCGATAATCTTGTAGCCAATACGCCAACCCTGGTATCCCAGCGTAACCTTTATATAAAAATTACCCCCAAAGTCAGACATATTAAAACTGAGTCCATAGTAAAGTAGTGCGTTTGTAACCCAGCAATACCATGTTATAAATGATATTTTTCTAAGTTTAGGTGTTTTTACCAGGTCTAATATTGTGTATTCTTGTTTTGCACTTTCAGTTGATTGCACCTTAAGTTAAGAGATTATAATTGTCTTAAAATATAATGTGTTATCTTTTGAATAATTTTTAACAAATTTATATACCTTTTGTAGATATTCAAATAACTCAGACAATTGTTCCTTCAAATTCTTGTCAGACCTGTCATTCATTTTTAGTGCATTTCTGAGTGTCTGTTCAGCTCTGTCTACCTGTCCATTGGTTATCTGCCAACGTGGAGACTCATACAGAAAATAAAACCAAAATAACATTACAGTCAAT